AGTGTAAAAATTCATATTAAAATGCAACAAATGAGAAAATCAAAACAAAAAATATCTAAATTTTGAAATTTGAATCCAAAAGTGTTAAGAAAGAGGTAATATAATATTAATATATTTAAATTAGCAAAGTGAAGAAATTTATATTAAAATGTAGCAATAAAAGTGAAAATCCAAATTTAGCAAAAAATATCTAAATTAAAAAAAAAGGGAAAAACGAAATTTGAATACAAAAGCATAGGAAAAAATGATTATTATTTAAATTAGCAAAGTGAAGAAAAGGAAATAAAAATAATTATTTATTGTTTCATTTTTCTAGATGGCTTCCGTTTATTAAGTGGCCTGATTTTCTTTTTTTCGAGCTAGAGGAATTAGAGAAATAAATTTAGCTTAAATATATTTTATACCATATATACCACATCATTTATCGAAAGCTTCTTCATCAATTTTGACAGAATTTCTAAAACAGATTTGACAAACTTAATTGTCATATAAAATACTTTTCTTAATTATTTGCAGAAGCGACGTAAAGGACCTGGATGGGTTTCCCATCATTTCCATGGGATATTATGTTCCACATCTTTTTTAAGGACATCAATTGGAAAATGGTAATTTTTTAAAAAATATTAAAATTTTTATTATAATTAAGTTTTTGGCCAAAAATATATTTATGCTTAATTTATTTCTTTATCATTCTAGCTCGGAAAAAAGAAAATCAGGCCACCTAATAAACGGAAGTCATCTAGAAAAATGAAACAATAAATAATTATTTTTATTTCCTTTTCTTCACTTTGCTAATTTAAATATTTATTATTTTTCTTAAGCTTTTGTATTCAAATTTCGTTTTTACTTTTTTTTTTGCAAAATTTAGATATTTTTTGCTAAATTTGGATTTTCCTTTTTATGGCTACATTTTAATATAAATTTCTTCGCTTTGCTAATTTAATTAATTATCATTTTTATTACCTCTTTCTTAACATTTTTGGATTCAAATTTTAAAATTTAGATATTTTTTGCTAAATTTGATTTTCTCTTTTATTTGTTGCATTTTAATATGAATTTTTTCACTTTAACTAAAATTTAAATAATTAGTATTTTAATTACCTCTTTCTTAATATTTTTGGATTCAACTTTCATAATTTAGCAAAATTTAGATATTTTTTGCTAAATTTGGATTTTCGCTTTTTATTTGTTATATTTTAATATGAATTTCTTAACTTTGCTAATTTAAATAATTATTATTTCTTATGAATTTTGTATTCAAATTTCATTTTTATTTTTTAACGAAATTTAGATATATTTTGCTAAATTTGGATTTTCTTTTTTATTTGTTATTTTAAATATAGATTTTCTTCACTTTGCTAATTTAAATCATTATTAATTTTTCTTATCACTTTTGGATTGAAATTTGATTATTTTAGCAAAATTTAGATATATTTTGCTAAATTTGGATTTTCTCTTTTATTTGCTACATTTTAATATGAGTTTCTTAACTTTGCTAATTCTTCTATTTGCTACATTTTAATATAAATTTATTTACTTATCTTACCTGGAAGGGACCATTAGGGAGAAATTTATAGCTCTAAATAAGTCAAAAATTCTTGAAGGGAATATATAAAACGACTAATAATCACAATAATAATACTATAAGATAAGAGCATCCTTTTAGAGGGCATAATAGAAGCGAGATATGCAATAATCGAGAGAATTATCGTAAAATAATAAATTGCTTAAGGATAGGATCCATTTTTAATGTGTATAATGTATAAATCCCCAAGCAATACATATTTTTCCTTATATCGCAAAATCAAATGCTCAGCCAAAAAGAAAATAATCTTAAATCACATAGCTTCACAAATACGCAATCACCTGTGATATAGTGTAAAAAATTCATGGATAAAATAAAAACACCTTATAATATTTTAAAATGTTGATGATTTGGATGTAAACATTAATGAGAACAAATATTTACTCTAAATAACAATTTTATATAGCTATGTATGCTTGGGCATGTGATAGGACAAGTTAGTGTTGTTAAACGGCTCATTTTGAACCGATTTTTAAAAACGATTAATTCAGTATTTTATCCAGAAAAATATTACTCAAATCGGAAGATTTTGCTCATAGATGGTACAAATTTCTAGACATCTAATATCGAAATCTGAGGTTTAAGCAATTTTTTTCTGGTTTATATATTGAGTCAGCTGTTTTTCAAAAGCGGCTAAAAGCGAGCCGTTTAACAACACCGAGACAAGTGGTAGTAAATGACATATTGAGTTCAGGAAAGATGCATATTCACAAAATGTCATTTATATTTAGTTTAAAGCGCACTTAGTACACTAAACATTCGCACACACATAAATTGAAGGTCAAAAAGTCTTCTACTGAAATTGTTTCCAATTTTAACTTATAACTAATCCATCCTTCTTCGGTATCGTAGTTTTTAAAGTTAGCCCAAATCTATTTAAATTGTTTTTCACCTTAAGATTTAAAAATGATTTTGAATTTAAGGTATTCCGTTTATCCAATTTTCTAGTCATTTTAAAATCCGATATTTAAGACTTCAGCTTAAGGCATAACGTTATAGTTTCTATTTTGCCTATATTTATTTTCTGTTTATTAAACTGACAAAAATTTTATGTGAATTATAGGGTAAGCACTATATTACATATGGCTTAACCAGAGAGTCAGCTATCATTTTCATACAAGTTTGATGCCAATCTTTCAATATTTTCTCATTTTGCTATTCTGTCTTCCTTTAAGGAATCACTAAAATATTTTTTATGCTCACTATTGTTATAAGTGTAGATTGGCTGATTTCACAATTAAGACATGATATCATAGTTTATTTGACTTATAATTAGGTAGAACTGATTGAAGTAATAATTAGTTTAGCACTAAATATTAAACAATCATTTAGGATATCTATAATCTAATTATGCAAGTTATGCTATTTTTCTTATTCCACCTAAGATTTTCCTTTTTGAAACCATCGACCAAACAAATTAAAATAATAAAATGTACTAATTAAGTACTAGATAATGGCTTAGTATATACTTCTAAATTACTGTTTCCAAAAACCTAAATAAATCTGTTTAACTTCAAATATAACTTCAGTATCTTTTTTGTTTTTGATAAACTGATAATAAATACAATTCAGACACTCGTGAAAACCAGATATTTAGTGCCCCTATATTTTTCCATTTTATGTTACTAATTTTTAAAATGTTTTACTATTTTGCTTCTAATTTTTTTTAAACTATCAGATTATAGGTTTTTAATATGTGCCAATTGTGTATCGATTTATTCAAGGTGGAGATTATGAAATTCCCCCCCCCCCCATCCAATCTCCATAAATATGAATAGATATAATCCGTTTTCCCTTGGTTATATGTATTTTGCTATAATTAAAAATGATTTTAAAAAATTAAGAAAATTGAGAAAAGATGACAAAAATAGATTAAAAACGACTAAAAGAGAAATCGTAAAAGTAAGAAAACAACAAGAAAGATTATCAAAAATAAACAAAAATTTAAGAAAAATCATAATATTTTTTTAAAATATACAAAAAAAATAACCATTTTCTTTTTTTGATAGAACCTTTTCCTTTTGTCGTGGAACATTATTTCCTTTTTTGATTGATTTCCTTTTTTACCTTATTTCTCGGACTTTTCCTAAGTCTTTGAGCACTTTTCCTTTTGAACCTTTTCCTTTTTGATCAGGTTCTTTCCTTCTTTGATTGACATTTTAAATTGGGATTTTTCCTTTTTTGGTTGGGAAGCCCTGTATTTATAATAATAATAATACAACAATAAACTTTGTTTTAAGCATATACATTTTAATTGCAATTTAAAAAATTTTTCATTATATGGACTAAATATACATTTGGTAGCATTGTATTTTTATATTTTATTTAATTTCAAAGCATCTTACCTTAAGTTGTTTGCAATTTTAATTTTCACATAAATTATAATAATTTTAAATTTTTATATATATTTCCGATTGAATTGGGCAGACTGGACGTAATATTAAATTTTGAGTTTGCTGAAAATAAAAATTAATCAAACTTGTGATCTCAGGAAAAATATGGATTTTTTTTCGAATAAGACTGATTATTGAAAACATATCTGATGGAGGTTCTAATAGAGAATACTGACATCGCCTTGCTCAATTGATTTTTAAGGGGAAATGTTTTTTATAATTTTAAAAAATTATTTTAATAAGGGAAATTATTAAATTTATCTTATATCCATTTTGAGAGGTTTAACAAATAATATTACTCCTATCTAAGATCTTCATACGAATGATTGAAATTATTTCGACATTAATAATGGTTGTCCTCTACTCATTTCTGTTTTTCACTAAATCCTTATAGATTTAGACTCAGAAATTTATATGTATTTGAGAGTTCTACATTTATCTCGAAAGTCTCGCTATTTCCTTTATAAATACTACAATCTCTCCTTTTAAAACTTTTGACCTATATTGGAGCTTTTATCGTTTTCCATAAATATAATTCATTCCTTACAAGTTTCTTCTTAAACTTATTTAAAAAATTTGCTAATTTTTGCAAAACCCAGAATTCGAACTAAACCTATGATTAGTATATTTCATTTAGCCTTATACTTTAATCTTATAGGTTTCCACCAATGATTTTATAAAAATCTTGAATTTGACTATGTCAATAATCTCATAAAATTATCCCCTTATCAATTCAAGAATTCTTGTTGTTTTTAAATTAAAATATTTGCCATTTTATCTTTCTATAATTTAAAAAAAAATTTCATATTTAATATCTAACATTTTGCCGATAAGACTAAAATATAAAAAATATATTATTTTCATAGATATACGTTTAACACTTTTGTAACATAAATATTAGATAATATTCCTTTATTAACTCTAAACGTGTTTACAATTAAGTTTAGATAAGTATTTTAATTTAACTTAAGGTTAGCAATTACTATATAAATATAACTAACAAATTTATGTAAAATAATATATAATTTCGTAAGATATTTTTTTTTATAATTTTATAGAAAAAATAATTTTTTTACAAATGAATAAATTTTTTTACTATATGTCAGTTCTCATTTTAGTTATTGAGTGTATTAGAGGTAAAATACCCTTATATTTTAACATTTATCTATAATCTCTTCTATTTTATTCGCGAAACTATTTCAGTTATAAATCATTCTGCCTTTTTTTATTTATCATTACCTCATCTGAGTTTTTAATTCGCTTTAATTTTTCATTTTTAATTAGACTCTTTTACAAATTTTTGACAAATTATTAACGTAATTTATTGAAACTCTTAAACTAAACCCCCAATTTTATTAAAGGCTCCTAACATATTTAAAAAATAGGAAATAAGAACTACAATACAATACAAAGTTAGATATCAACTTTAAAAAAAAAATGCATTATATTTCTCCTCTCTTCTTCAAAATAGATAACATAGAGCTGGCAATAAAAAATTAATAATCAAATATTAGTTGCATTCATAATAACGATTTTTTTTACAGAGTTAACACCCCCAAAATGAGATAGAGTTATTTGAGGGCAATTATTTACAAATTAAACTGGAATAAAATATATTCTCATTGAGGCAAAAAGTATTTATTATTTGTCGGAAAATATTTACATCTTATTTTTATATTTTTCATAACTACGATTCGAACTATCAAGAAGAATAACTTTATTTTTAAAAAAAAATTGGGGGGGGGGGGGGGGGGGGTAAATTATATTATTCGCTTCTTTGTAGGAGCATTATATAAAAAGGAAATACTCATTTTTAAACACAGTTTTTTTTGTAATGCTGATTGTACGATTAGAGGATTTTCAATAAAAACTATATATTTGAAAATGCATCATGCCACTAAAAAGCTATATTTATGTTTTCTTTAAATCATAAAACACTTGTTTAGCATATAATACCTTGATCTGCAAACGAACGGATCCGATGAGTAAGCTAAAATTATATTGTCTTATATAAAATATGCCAAAAACCTAAAAATATTTCTCAACATAAACGAATTATAAATAATAAACCTTTTAAATAGAAAAATAAGATTATACGCAAAACTTATTTTTAAAAATTTGTAAACTTCTAATGTTTATAAAGTTTTTATTGAGATAGCTTTATTTTGTGCAGTTAAACTTATGCTACAGCATGACCTCTTGTGCCATAGGAAAAAAGAGAAATCTTCTTTAGATGTTTATAAAGGAGGCCACTTTGTGAATACTTTGATATGATTTTTCGTAATGTTTATCATTTATTTTATATTAAATTTAAACTTTGAAATGTGTAATTTATGTTTGGTTGTTTTTTTTGTTTTTTAAATGAGGTAGTATATTTTCAAAACCTAATTTAAATATATTATTTGTAGAATTTTTGAATGAAAATATCGTAAAAATATCTTAAAAACTGACTAATTTATAAAAAGATGGTGTCACTTATTTTGGACCACTCTGTATTGTGTTTTATCAATTTTCTTATAAATCATTACACTGTCAAATTTAATTAAAGGAAATATTTTTTTATATATAATTTTTATAATGCTAAATTAGTATTCTATTCGATATTTTATTATTTATATATAATAAAATTTTCAGTAGTTGTGTGACATACATTTATTTCTTTATCTTAATTCTTCACTTTTCACTATCAATAATAAAAATAACTTCAAGAGCAATCATCTAATAAAATTTCATGGATTCGTGAAAAGTGGCTTCTGAATATTTATAAAGATTCCTAAATTTAACACACATACCAATGGCTGTCTGCAGTCAATAGTAATTTACCAAAGGTATCCACAGTAGAGATCTGCAAAGTTAGGCCCGGTCCGTACCCGGCCCGAGTCTGGCCTAATTCTATTTAAAATAATCGGGTTCGGGCTAAGCCGGGCCTAATATTTTTAAAAAAATTTCGGGCCTGGTCGGGTCGGACTTTAGAAATTTTATTAAATATATCTAAATTTTTCAATTTTATATTGAATTTTTTATGTAAAATAAAAATTTTTGATTTAATTTATTGGAACTAAACGCTATATAACATATGTCTTTTATTTTAAGTAATTATAAAAATTAATTTCTATATTTTAATAAATTCGGGCCTGGCCGGGCCGGTAAATTTTTTGAAAATAAATTTCGGGTTCGGGACGGGCCGGGAACTTTTTAAAAAAAAATCGGGTTCGGGCCGGACCGGACCGGCAAAACTTTTTTAACAAAAATTTCGGGCTGGGCTTGAAAAATTAGGCCCGATGCAGATCACTAATCCACAGAGACTATTTTCAATGATAATTTTTTAAACTTTAATTTAATAGGTTTTATTTAATCCTAATTTAGTAATTTGTCAAATTTTTGATTTATTTTGGTTTTGATATTAGCTTCTAAAACAATCATTAATATAATTTTTAGTCTACGCCGTTTGCAGGAAAAGTAATTTAGTTAAATAAAGATAGGAAATTCTACATTTCAATCAATAAATTATATTTGTAGATAACGAATTCTTAACAACAAGAAGAGGTTTGGTTAATTAAATTGTTGAATATTGCATCGGTTCTGTATATAAAAAAATTGTTTTAAGGATTCAATAATATCATTCATAGCATATCTTATACGCATTATTTTTACAATTATAAAGAAGCCCCAAGTGCTGCATATCTACACGGCAAGTCTTTTACATTTGAAATTTTTTTTATAAAAAATATTAAAATTTTTATAGAATATTTACATAATATGGACTATTATATCGAAAGTATTTTATTTCATCATTTATTAAACTGATTTTTTTTTGATATATTTTTTATTTAAAAAAAAAATTTTTTAGGTTCAGATTTGTGGATCGCAATAAGTAAATCAATTTTTTTTAAAAAACAATTATATAATTTACTAGAAATGGAATTGCAAAATGAAAGCCTTAGTCTTAATCTAGGTAATAAAAATTAAAAGATTTATTTTATAGTATAATTTTAATATAGTACAAGAAAATACACCCACATGTAAAAAATTTAGTATAATTTTTTCACTTAAGAAAATTTTAAGCGTTCTGGATACTAATTGTTATAATAGTTTTTAAATTTTTTTTTCCTATGCAATATAGTTCGAATTTATATATATACAAAGATAAATAAAACGTTCATAATTTGTGGGATTCGCCAAATTTTTTCTTAGAAACACTTTGGCATATCGTCAAATGGCATATTTCAACTAAAAAATTAAAAAACAAACTACTTGTAGTTTACATGGTCTCCTAAACTTAATTGAATTTAATATAGAAGAAAAATCGAAATATTTTTGATCACTAGTGTTGTTAAATGGCTCGATTGCCTAAGTCTCGAGATTTCGCTGATAGATGTCCAAACCGTAGTCCCTTCTATGAGCAAAATCTTTAGGGTTGCGTAATATTTTTGCGGATAAAATGTTTAGTTTACCTTTTCTAAAATCAAACAAATAGAGCCGTTTAATAAACTTTTGATTTATTTAAATTATTTGATTCAAGTAATATTTTTCTTTTATTTCCTGTTTTTTTATCTTTATATTATTAAGTAATTATACAAAGATGCGATTTTAATACAGGTAAATTAAATGTTATTTATAATAAAGCAAATTGTATAGGCAAGATATTTAAAAAGGAGGTGGGGGGGGGAGGGGAGGGGTTAGCGTAAATTTTGGCGTAAGCTAGTATTCAAATGAAAGAATTCAAAATATTATCATTATTTTTTATTTGCGTTTTTACTTACAATGCTCTTAAAAATATAATATAAATTTATATCCTTATTTTATTAAATATATATTTAAATTATAAATGGGTAGAGAAGATAAATGTTCATCCAGTATTAATTTCTGGCGCCAATATAAACCTTTGAATATTGGAATAAAATTATTATTCTTTAGACCAGTGCCTAAGCCTCAATAGACGGCAGAAGTTCTTTTAAAATAAATTTATCGGGGTTCATCAGCGTGCCTATTTTGCCTCGGCCAGGAGTGCTTTTAAATTTTTGAAATGAATTATATTTATAATTCAATGCATTACTTATTTTTATAATTTTATTGGGTGCGTCCCAATTGCTAATATAGTTTAGTTCACTTCTTATATTATTTCCTGTCTTGCTTCTATTTAAATTTATGCATTCTCTCAATTTCATATATAGACTAAGGAATTTCATTTATACTCCGGTCAGAGTTACACAAACAACATATATCTGTAAAATTATATTGATTTTTATTAAAATATAAATTTGGAATACAAACAAAATATAAAGTAAGAAATGAAATAAATTAGAAAGAAATCAGATTTAGTAAAACTATAATTGTCATAAATAAAGGTTCCACGTCAATTCGGCGCGGAAAATTCGGCGCATGACAATTTAGTACAGCCACCATTCAACGCGTATCTAATAGAGTTGATTATAAATTTATTAGTATAAAACTAAAGGATGATTAAATAGAAGTCATTTTGAATGATAGTCCTATTAATTATTTCTTCATATTTTATTTTGCAAAAATATCAATTTTATTTACTAAATATGTAATATCAATAAAAAATTTACTAATATCAAAAAATAAATAATAACCCTTTATTTATACCGATTTCTTTGGTGGACCAATTTGCCATGTTATAAGAAATGTTAATCCAAAAAAAAATCAAATATTTAAACCAGAGTTTCGAACCCTTAAGAGCTCGATTCGTTACGGTTTTTAGTTAAAATTATATAAAGTGTTCCATTTCAAGAATATTATTTAAAGGTTAATATAAATTTGATTTTTTTAAATCCATATAAATTACTCTTAGAAAAAAAAATTTTTCATTATTTTTATAATTCCTTATTTAATTTAATGATAAAGATTGTTTCTTACCTAATTAATAGTAATTTGCCTAATCTCTATTAAATTGAGTATATAAAGTAAAAACAATAAACTTAGTATTTTATTGATTTGAAGATAATATCTAGGTATAAAAAATTTTAATTTGATAAGAAATCACGAATAATGTGCCCAAGATAAATTAAAATTTCAAATTTAGGTAATAATTTTAAATTAATTATTTTAAAAAACAGTTGCGAACCTGTTTAAATTAGTTCAAGCACTCTTTATATATTTTTTTATAAAATTCGGTTACGGTTCAAAAAATTATAACGGTTCTTTCTTATTTCGAGGTTAAGTTGAATTATTTTAAGGATTTTTAATAAATCTATAAAATGAGTCAGTTTTGAAGGAAATTATTTTTAAGTCAATAATTATTTTCTAAATTAATACAATTGTTGGATATGATTGGAAAATTCAACCTCTAGCATAACACTTAATTCCTTATTTCTAAAAAATAATTTGAATTTTTTTGGATCAACCATCTTATAACATGGGTCCACCAAAGAAATCAGAGTATAAATATTTGTTTATTAAATTAATTTTCTTTTGATATCCAACTCTCAACATGAATTCTATTTAATGATCCCTTTGTTTTATACTAATAAATTGCAACTGTTTTAGATGCGTGCCAAATTTTCGTTGAGCCGAATTGACGCCGCTCCAAATTTTCAACACCAAATTATCGTGCGTCGAATTTTCCGCCCCAAATTGATTGATACCATAAAGAAATAGTATTTTATTAAATTCGTAGGAAATAAGTAAGTTTTTTTTGCCTTGATTATTAATCCAGCAAGGTTAAAATGACATTTTTGGTCAGATTGCTAATTTTTCTATAATCATTGCTTGGAAAGGAATGTTTAAGAGCTATCATAATGATATATTAATTGGATGTTTGTCCAATATCTTCAACCTATAACTATTTCTGTCATGCTTTAAAAGTTTTAAATGTCTAATTAAAAATTGCGATTAGAATTTGAATTTAAATATAACAATTTCGAAATTTCGAATCAAGTAGTGTCGCTAATATCTTATGCTTAATATATAATTTTATTAATAAAAATTTAATATAAAATAAAATAAATTACTTCAAATTTGGTAACTGGAAACCTATGGCTAAGCTTTTACATATTTTCTTCTCGACAATTGATATTTTGAGCAATCGATTTTTATATGTGTCTTTATTTTACTGCGAAATAATAACTCTAGAAAATTTATTGTTATTCTTGGAATGAAAGAATTTCTGAATTATTCAATAATGTGTAAAGTTCGTCAACCCATTTGGATTGAAAAGTTTTCGATTGTTTTCCTATTTATTTATATTATAGGATTAGAAATCTTGCTAACACTCTGATTACTTTCTAGCATAATTAATTTGCTGTGCTAGCGGATAGTGCAATTTAATTTTCAGATTTTCTTATTAATTAGATCTGTTGGTGCAATGCAATTTATATTATCAGCCTCAGATAATAAAATGTTCATCAATGTATGGATTAGAATCATCAATATCCAAAATATGGCCTGTCTCATAATTTGCAACCAATTATAATGTTCAACCTCTATTTCACTTACAAATCGATTACTCGATATCTGATAGCTGAGACTTCTCTACTTTTTTTAATCATAACTCTTGCAATTATGCCATAACTGTATTATGAAGACCATGTTCTAAGCATAAATTAGGCTCATAATCTCCCAATCTGGCTTCTTTTGATATTTACCATAGCATCAGTTACAATCTGTATTTTAAGTGGAATTCATCTTTTATATTATCGATATCAGTTAAGGTCTAGCCGATTTTACGTAACGTTTCTACTTGCCAGGATAAAATATTTTAGATAAAATTTCCATTTAAATGATGAAGACTAAATATGATATAATTCTAAAAAAATTTAACGCCGCGTCGCTGCCATAAAAAAAAATGGCGCATCTCAATCGGCGGTTTTTCCGGCATGAGCTGAAGACGCACAGATCTAGTCTCTAATATTAATAATTATTCGAATATTTTAATATTTTATTCATTAAAATAATATAATTTATTCGTTTTAACAGATCTTAATGAATACTGTAAGTATAAATTAAAAATACAAAAATAAAATTATATTTAGATATTAAATAAATAAGCCTATATTGTGCCGAAAATTATGCGAGCATTTAATATCTGACATGGATTATTTTTAATATACAGTATAAATATATCATTTAAGAATAAAATATATATAATATCCTAAATTATAAGAACGCCGGACTAAAAAAATTTGCATATATTATTATTTAAAAAATATAATATATATATTTAAAAAAATATAAAAAAATTTAAAAAGAAACGGATATTTAAATCATAATGAAAGTCAATAAATTTCGATAAATCAAAATAATCACCATTTCTGTTCTAATATCTGTTCGAATACATAAACCTGATTACATCGCCTTTAAAGATATTGTCGAGATTAATTCCAGCGAATAAAAGTCGCATGTCTCTCTTTAATAAAATTATCCCCTAAAAAATTTCCCAAGTCATTAAATTGCAATGTTTTGAGTCTATAATTGCCTATGTTATTTATAAAAGCCCAGTACATTTTCTATTGGATTAAAATAGGAGTTTGATATTTGATGCAAGCTATAGACAAATCTTTGCTTGATTAGGAAAATCGATTTTGACGAATAACAAATTGCCTTGTAAAAAAAATCTCCTTGTGGAAAACTTTATATTGGGTAAATAATGAGCTCTATAAAATATTCTGATTTAGATGATTTTTCCAAAACCTGACACCTTTTCCTGCAAACTATCCCATATCATAACTGTCGAGGGCCTCTTTAAAACAGTCAGGTTTTTGTTTTATCACTGTAAATAATTTACATCCATTTTTAGGATTAATATTCTTTCATTTATTTAGGTTTTTTTATGCATATCAACAAATAATTTGATTTAGCAAATTGACAGAATTCAATTATGATTTTCCTTTAAATAATACACCTTATATTTTAAAAAACCCCATAATGAATATTTCCATAGCCAGTACTAATAGAATGAATCTAATTTGAATTCGTCCTCTTAGCTTTCGTTAGTTTATGTTTTAAAAGAAATTTCAAAAAATACATGACAATAGAATAATATTTTGATACCGCTATACAATAAAGACATTCATTATCTCAGCAACTTTTTTACAAAATGTCGGGCAATAAGATAAATATTGCCGACATCCAGATTATTATGAAATGGGAAATTTTATGAATGAGATAATTTTTATTTTTTATATTTTTTACAGTTGTCACTAATGTTTTTCGATCAAATTCAATAATAATAATAATAATAAATCTTTTTATCTGTCAAAATCGTGTATAATCAGCTTAAAATTTTTTTTTTCAGAATATTCTCTTTGATTTCATATAGTCATATGTGATATCTAGCTTTAACAAATAAGGTTAGAAAATAACCTAGAGATCATGTGAAGAAATATCACCTTGCTTTTTATAATATTTTAAAAATTTGTAAAACAAATTATATAAATTTTTTTTTAAAATTTCTACGATAAAGCTGTAATAGCTTACCAATTAGGTATAATTTAATAAATTTCTCATATATTTATAATGGTAATAGGAAATAAAATATCCGGAAAAAAACCCAATGGAAAAAAACCATCGGAAATGTCCCTCCCTTAAAAATTTTAATGTAAAATTAAACCAAAGCGTTAAGTCACACTTGTTATCTGAGTTAATTAAAAGAACTCTAAGAAATCATAAGGCAAATCACTATCTACAAATATTTAGAATTTGGAAGGCCTAGTTATTGAAGGTATTAGTTTAAATTGAATTATATTTTCACAAAAATTTTAATATTATAGATGATTGGCAAGTTGTGGCTCCCAGAACTCAAAAAATCTATATTATTTGATAATGACCCACATGTTGAAGATAATCATGTTTGCAACGGATGAATATTTAAATTTAATAACATACGACAGTATGGTATATGGATGGCTTCGCTAAAATGACATGAGCATCAAACGTTATTTTTATCACAGCTGTTTATTGTGTACTGTAAAATACTTGCGAAAAATATTCGAAATAATAATGACTAAATGTCAGAAAAGTGATTTATAGATCCATTATATATGTACATGGATTTCAAAAAGTCTGAGAGCTCGGTTAAAACTATCATTGGTATGATTATCAATATATCTACTTTTTTAATTAGTGGACTACATCATAATTAGAGGATTATTTTACCATTTGTGCCAAAGTACCCATAGAATTCAGAAGCTAGGTCTGGAAAGTCAATACAGGACCGATAAAATTATAAGCTTCTTTTGTAGAATATTTGACGGCTTTCTTATGTGATATGGCGGCTGCAATGATATTCCTGAGATCGGTTACGAACAATGGTAAGGATATTTTTATCGGGATATTTTTGATTATTTCGATAAAAATTATATCAATATCAAGGGAAGTTGCAAGAGGCAATTCCCATACCCAGACACGTCGAATTGAGCCTCAATTTTCTATGGAAATCTGAAATGTGAATCATAGTACTCTATCTGATGAAGAGCGCACAAATAATCAATGTGAAGGATGGAATTATTGTTTTTCTAATCTTATTGGAAATGAACACCCATAAATCTGGGTATTAATTTAAAAAAATGATAGGGTAAGAAACCTTACAGATTTTATAAGAGCGTTTCAATATTCGATGTCAACCTTAATCATTAATCTAATTTAAGTTTTATATACATAAAAAAATAATTACTTATTACAATTAATTTAGTCTACTTAATTGTGTTTATTACTATAGCAATAAATTTTTGCGAAAATAAGAAATACATGGGTTATTTAGGGGTATTTTTTCCCAGTAACACTTTGAACATCATCATTAAAAAAATTTAGCTTATCAATTAAATATATTTTTATAATATTTTTTTGACTTAAATATTATATTTGCATTATTATAATTAAAAAATTATAATTTGCACCTTATAAAGATGAGTGTATCCATTATAATGCAAATAAAAATATACCTTTATTATTAGGTCTCTAATAAATTTGATAAACATGAAAAAAAACTATGGAGATTATTTTTCAGGTATTTTTCCTGTGGGGTTTTTTCCAGGATTCGAGCTAGAACACACTATTTTGTTTTCTTTCAAGCATTTGATGATATTTTTATTTTTCATATTTTTTTTCTCGTTTTTTAATTTTTAATATTGAGTATTTATTTAACTTTTTAGGCTGTTTAGTCGCAGTAAATATTTGACTATTTAATAATAAGTAGAACCAGAACACGGCTTTATTACTTTATTTCTATATGAAATGTTATGTTTAATATTATAGTTATGAAAATAAAATTTTTTGAGATCTAAATTGTTTTAGAGAATTGAAAGCTTTCTCACGGGTTTTATGAATTTAATTGATATTTGTTTTAATCAACTCTAGGCTATGTAAATGGCATCCTAATAATATCTATAGGTATGATAATATTTAGTTCTATCTAATTATTAAATAATTAGATAATTTCTATGGAAATTTTAAAATAATATGTTTCTTAGGCTGAATAAAAATAAACATAACGTGGCGCGATAATTTGTTAATTATACTCTTGTTAGTTGTTAGATCGCCTTTGATAAATCAGACCTAATTAAAAATGTCGATCAGAATATCAAAACGAATACTATATTTTACTTTATCTTCTTTTAGGAAGTACAGAAATATTCCATGGACCAGGTTTAATAAAATTTAGATAATAGTGACCCTAATCAATTTCACTATATTATTTTAGTCTCCAGTTTTATCTATATTAGAAATTATAACATAGGTATAAAATTATGAGAAAAAAAAACTCTAAATTTACATGATTTTAAATAATTTTAGACTTTAAACCATATCTACTTGAGCATAATGGTATATAAATAAAAAAAAAACTTGTTATTAATAATTGCCTTTTTAAATTTTATCAATTTTGTAATAATACATACATTTCAATATCTATTTATAGTAGATACTTCTATCATTTATTCTAAGCTATTTTGTTTTATTGGCGCTTAATCAATTTAGTCTTTCTGATCTAGCAATTATTACTTAGGATAGGAGATATATATATATATTTACTAACAATATATAATTAACATATATTTGTGAATATGCAATTTTGCTTTGAATTTGCTATTTTAATTTTACAAAAAAATACTCAAACTTAAATATATATTATATATTATTACTAATTGTGTTTGATAAAGGAATCAATTTGAATATAAACAGTACATGTATTTGATTAAACATGGGATTAACATATACAATTATTTTGATTGCAATAATTATAAAAACATTTGCTTTATATTGTGGATCCTGGGTTTTGTGCTTATTAATTAATCTATGCCAATAAATATTTTGATTATTTTATTTATTTTTTTTAACAGTAAAGTTTATTTAAAAAAGAAAGGAATTTAAAACAAAGGCCTTTAAAAAAAATATATAAAAATATAGCGAATGTATATAAATTTAAAACAAACAAAATTCTGAAAATTACAATTTAAAAAAAAAAATTAAGAGATCGGTTTATCAAGTTATCATTTATAGTTGTAGAATATTATTTTAAAAAATTTATTTGGTTTAGCAGAATTATATATAGGCTATAAAGGCCTGATGTTTTATAAGGTTCTATAAAATAATTAAGTTTATTATATTTATTTAGAATCTGAACTAATATAATTTAACCAGAAAAATTATCCTAATTAATTTTCGTGAAACTTACAAACCTTTAATGCTCATTTCAAGTTACACACATATTATAAGTAGGAGAGATCGGAGCCATGTTAATAATGATAGTCGAATAATATCCAAGATCTACAACGAAGGCTCTATCTTAAACAGAGAAATGGAAATTAATAAAATTTAAACAACTACATCAATTATTCTATGTTAATTGATAAATTTATTTTAATAATTATATTTGATTTATCTTATTATGTCTGATATATGTTTAAACATAGGTATAGCCAGGAATAGATAAGGAAAACCTCCCATTGTTAATTTGTCTTAGATTTTAAGTATTATTTTGAACTACTACCACCCCCCTCCTACCCTACACACCCCCACCCTCTATACAATATATCACTATAAATCACTATAAACAAAAATTTGAAAGAAAGAAAAAAATTATTTAAAGTTAATAAATTTTTAAAATAATTTTTATAATATAAAATTCTTAGAAAAAAAACATATCTAGAAGAAAAAAAGAAAAATAAACCAAATTTTTTTTAAAAATCAAACATAGTTTTCTTACATAAAGACCTCCATTAAAATTTTTGGGAGAAAAACTCACCTAATAATGCTCCCTCCCTTGGCAACATCCTGGCTACGCCTATGTATTTAAATAATATATTGTATTGCGGTGGTAAAATATGTATTATAGTAGATTAACAATACATTCTATACTAAATTTTTTTAAATAATTTATTAAGCAAAAATTTAGTCCAACATTTTCTTGTTTATTGAAGAATTTATGCATTTTTTAAATTAAGAATATTATATATTGATATCGTCCTTAAACAAGTTATCTTTAATCTTTAATAGGGGTATTATTATTTAGAGGTAGAAGAAAAAAATCTTAAATAAGTTATGTTCAAAAAAATATCGAAATCTAAGTGTTTTTTAATAGTACAATATTAGACCTTTTTATAATAATATATCCGGGTAAAAAATTTTACCCCCAATGAATAATTGCCTGAGTGTTCAACGGTTATATCTTATTTGTTGTGGAATTTAAATGATACAGATCTTTTTGTTTACAAAAGATTTATTTTAAGTTAAGCCTATTTTATAAAATGTAAAAGTTTATTAAAAGAAGTCTTAAGAATGTAAATTAATAAATTTTTATTCGATAAAATTAATGTTTAAATTATTTGAAAAATTATATCAACTCTTTTTATAATTACTTAAAATCAGAATTTTTTTTATAAATTGTTTGTAACTATATATATTTTGAATATCAATACAAATACCTGATTTATTGATTATACCAATGTAACTAGCTATTTCTTCCTTAAAAACTGCTGGTTTATTTTTAAGGTTAAAAAAATATTGATAATTATTGATTAGCTAAGATTATAGTCACTGTTTTTCACTTTTAATATTATAAAATATCAATTAAGAATATAAATCTTATTTCATATCGATGTGAAAAATTGTTAAAATAAATCATAGCAAACCTGAACTATATTTTATTATTTATTATATATTAATTATAATTATAATTATAATTAATATAAAATTTAGATAATTTGAAATACCATTTTTAAATTATATAAAATTACTCTTATTAAAAAAAAAGTATTAAACATAAATAAGTATATTGATAATTTGATATTTTTATCGCATACATTGAACAACGAAATGTAGCCATCTAAGATTTTACAAACTTAATTCCATAGTAATAGGCTCATAGATAGAGCAAGAATTATATTTTTTTTAAAAAATCACTTTAAAATTTTGTAGCGTGAATGTTGGAATGGAGTGAACCTATATTTATTATATTTAAAAATGATAAAATTCATTAAAGTCATTTTTTTTTAAAATATCAATCATTAATTATCATTTTATATAATTGAATTTAAAGTCGATACATCACTTACATAAATTATTAATTTGAACGAACGTAAAAATAAGAATAAAAAGTATATAAATATAATTGTAAAAATACCTTAGACGATTAAGTAGTATTAATTAAAATAAATTAGAATAACTGAATTTATATCAAAAATTTTAGGCTAAAATGTAAAAAATTAGCATCATGACTTCTAATTCTTTTCTAAGTGTTGGGACCTCTGGTGGCTGCGAAGCAATTGTACATCTTACTAATTATCTGATCACCTATTATTCTTTTTCTGCTAAATATATCTGTTTTTTTTTCTTGAAGTTATTCTCTCGATTAATTTTACAAATAAATCAAAATAAGCACACTCACGCGATCGTTTTAAAACGCAACCTCAAACTTGATTTTTCAGTTCTACTGTTGAAGGAAATGATAAATATAGCCTTCATTGTCGTTTTTGTAAAGGTTGCAATGTTAGATATTATTTATATAAATCAATCGTCCTAAGAGCTTTGAAATTACTCAGCTCTTCATCCTAGAACCCCAGCTCTTTCCGGATCTAGCAAACACCTAGATAGATTTCTCCGATTTCTTGAAAGAACTGTTAATTCATGGTCTGAGATTATTGATGTTACCCATTCACTCCCTTCAATCAAACTCCAAACATTCCTGAGAAATAAGAGCAATAAAATTGCTAAATATTTAAAAAAAATTCTAGACTACATATTCATTATTATTCATTTCGTTAATTTCCACGACCTTAAAAACCTTTGGGAATAGCGCTTTATCCTTTTTTAGGAACTTGGTTCTAACATTTGTAAACTTACAGATGAACCTATCGGGCTATTTTTTGAGGCAAAGACTAGCCATTACTAGTTATAAGACTAAATTATTTTCCTCATGGGTAGCCTCATTAATAAGATGATTATTTTTCATATTACTATTTGTATTTGTTTTATAAATTATATATATAATTCTTTATTCTAATTTATATTTTCTAATTTAATTTGTTTTTTTTTTAAAAAAGAATAATTTTTGAAAATAAAATCTTCCGCATTTTATAAATAATATCCGATATGACGAAAGGCTAGCATGTATATGCCATATATTAATATTATGCATTATATTTTTGACAATTGTTTAATAGAAATAGCCTTAAATATGAATAGTGTAAAAAAAAATAGTACAATATTTCAAACAATCTAGAGCCAATAGCAAACTAAGCCACACCCGTAAACAAGATGTAATAACGAGATGTTCTATATATCCTGATACAGAGTTTCTTAAAAGCATATTCTGAAATACTGGCGTACTTGCTTAGCAAGCAAGAATTATATAGATTAGCCATAAATGATATCAATTTCATACGCGAGTTAGATAAATTTTTAGCGATATTTAAAGAATGCTCGGATAATCTGAGCGCAGATTTTCTTCCCACAATTAATGAATTTTGTCTATGGAAACAAAAATTAGTAACATTTTGTCAACCGTCTGAATGTTATGCAATAATAATCAAAACTTAAAAAACAGGACAAGATTTCTTTTAAAAGAAATATTTATTATGCTGCCACTTAAGATAGGCTTAATTCACTTCACTTTTAGGAACAACGGATATATTCCGTGGACCAGGTAATTAATATAGCCTATATAATATTTTAGAAAAATTTCAACTTTAGTCTCAGTGTTTACCTTTATTCAGAACTATAGCATAGGTTTAAAAAATTGAAAAAGAAAATGTCATGTCAGTTATCATTATTTGAAATAATATATTTTAGATTTAAGCCATACCCACAATATAACGGTATACCAATAAGATAAATAATTTATATTTTTGTTATATAATGAGATTTCGTATTACATATTAAGAAATCTCACATAATTTAAATTATAGTATATTATATAATTATTTTTTAATTTTGTGATGTTTTTTGAGAATACTTGCCAATTATTCTAAGCACTTCGTTTGAAGGGTTTTAAGTTAGTTTTGTTTTTTTATGATTATTCATTTATTATCATATCCTATAAATCATATATAAAGGCGGCGGCTATAGTATTTTAATTATACAGATATATAAATTTGTTTCGGGTTTGTTACTTGTGCTAATTTTGCAAGAAAAAAAAATATAATTTAGATTGATACCGTCGTTCAAAACAATTTACCTAAGACTTTATACCTAAATAATACATATACTATATGATTAATTGTATATTTAATTAAGGAACCAATATGAATATTACAAGGATAAATTAATAATTGCTAAATTTTCAATAAAACTTTTGCTTTTTATTTAATCCTTGGATTAGTTAGTATTTAATTATACATTAATATTAATTATTTTTATAAAAAGCACCGTGTTTATTAATTAATAATATATACTAATACAAATAGTAATTATTATAAAATAAAATGCACCAAGTTATCACTTATAGTTTATTAGAATTCGCAGAAAGGTAGTGGGACGAAGGAGGGGGGCTTTTAAAAATAAAAATTAAAGGAATATTTAGTATCAAATTAAAATTTTACATATTTTATATTTTAAAATATGATCTAATTTTAGCTATTTGGAAGAAAAAGATTTTCTAGGAATAGTTTAGATAAGATGTATTATTCAAAGTCGCTATTATATAGAAAAATAATATTTATAACAGTTTATAGATTTTAATTTTCAGTTATTATGCATTAATTATTTATTTATCATTCTTTAAAATATCATTAATAATTTTTTATGAATTATTAGATAATTTGGATTATTTCATAAGAATTGTTAAATATTAGAAAAACGGTTA